GTCCTGACGCAGCAAGCCGAAGAAGGCGAACGAGTGGTGGCGTACGCTAGCCGGCGACTGGTGAAATCCGAGGAAAACTACTCGGCCACCGAGAAAGAATGCCTCGCCATCGTCTGGGCCATTCGGAAACTCCGGTGCTACCTGGAAGGGTATCGGTTCGATGTTATCACGGACCATTTAGCCCTGAAATGGCTGAATACCCGACCGGGCGTATCGCTCGCTGGGCGCTGGAGCTCCAGCAGTTCCAATTCGACGTGCACTACAGGAAGGGTAACCAGAACGTGGTCGCTGAAGCACTGTCGCGCCAACCACTGAACACGCTCCACCAGCTACAAGAAGCATTATCACCATGCAAGTATATCCGAGCCAAACTGGAACAAATCGACGCCCAACCGGAAAAGTTTCCGGACTACGCCAGAGAGAACGGACAGCTGTACCGCCACCTCGGCGATCCAGCACCCGACGAGGGCATCAGCCCATGGAAGCTGTGCGTTCCCACGGAGCACCGACGACACGTGCTGGAGGAGTGCCACGACCACCCCTCGGCAGGGCATCTAGAGATCCGCAAGACGATCCGACGAGTTGGACAGCGCTATTTCTGGCCTGGAATGCATCGGGACGTTCGACGACACGTAAGGTGCTGCGAGACCTGCCAGCGGTTCAAGGCGAATCAGCTCAAGCCCGCGGGGAAGATGCTCACCCGTCGCCCAGAGGAACCCTTCACAATGGTCAGCGCAGACTTCATCGGACCCCTACCCCGGTCTCGTCGCGGGAATACAATGCTGCTGGTCTTCCTGGACGTCTTCTCGAAATGGGTCGAGATCATACCGCTGCGGAAGGCGACGACGGCCCAGCTGGAACTGGCGTTTCGAGAGCGCATCCTCTCCCGATTCGGAACCCCACGCACGCTGATATGCGACAACGGCGCGCAATTCACAAGGCGCCCAATACACCGCGGACGACCAGCGATCCTGGGACCAACTACTGCCAGAGATCTCGCTCGCAGTGAATTCCAGCATCTCGGACAGGGATTCAGCCCCGCCTATTTAGTCCAGGCCCGCGAGCCACGCCTGCCGGGGGCCTGGTACGACAAAGTGACGCCGAGCTCAAGTACCACGCCACAGTCACCCGAAGACCGGGCTAAAGGATTACAGGAGGCATATGCTATCGCACGAGAGAACAACGAGCGGGCATCCCAGGAACAGAAGCGGTACTACAATTTACGGCGGCGCGCTTGGCGACCGTTGGTGGGATCATGGGTGCTGGTCCGTACCCATCACCTGTCCAAGGCCAGCGAGGGATTCAACGCCAAGTTGGCTCCGAAGTACACCGGACCATACAAAGTGGTGAAGTTCCTGTCACAGAACGTAGTGCGCCTACAACTGCGGGGCTCTAGGAAACGGCGGACTGCCAGTCTCCCAGATCTCAAAGAGTACAGGACCGGAGAAGCCGACGACGAAGAAGATACAGTGGACAACGAGGCAGAGCCATACACAGAAGCGTTCGCCTCCGAACCCCCAAACGTGGATCCAGAAGACTCCCAAGCTCTGGGCGACCAGCAGGAGACACTCGGCCAGGAGAACAACCAGAATGCCCAAGTCACTGAGCAGCGTACCCAGCCCAATAAAGCCACCCATCGACGAGTACACTTCGAATAAACCAACATCGAGCAGGGTCACGTGAGTCAAGAGGAGCACCCGCGCTGCCATAGTTAGGTTAAGCCGCCAAGTAAGCTAAGAACTCTGAACTTGTAATCTAGAACCATAAGTATCTCAAGCCGCACTATAGGTAGGATTCACACAATAAGACCTAAGCTAATACGTTACATTTACTAGCACACCGTCACCATGTCCGAAAACGAGGAGTACGAATACCGCCCAGGGAGCGACTCCATCCGCTCTCCCTCACCACCAGCCGTCACCAACAGCACCGACTCCGGGCTATCGGAGTACGCGGAGCGCGTCGCATCGCCGCCGTTCGACCCGGCCGGGACACCGCCGCCTCCACCTCTTGTCCGCGACGGAGATGCCGAATGCACAATCCGACTAGACCCGTTGTGACGATTGCGAGGTGAGAGGGGAAAAGGCACCAAGGCATGCGAGGAGGAGCCACCAGCTCGAGATGTTCAGCCCGACACCAGGGGCTGACTACAGCGAGGCTGGCGCGGTTAAACGTCGCAGGATCCCCGGCAGTCGGGTACAGCACGTCCTGCCACCTAGTGCCCGCTTGGCTGGAGTCGTGGTGACGCCAACATTCGCTTGGGCGGTTTGAGCAGAGATGCTTCCAGCAGAGTCGCCACCTCGTTTACCGCCTCACGGGAAGCCGATGCCACCGGAGACTCGTTTATGGCCGTACTTCGGACTGAGTGGAGCCTCCAGTGCTGACGGAGGCCAACGACGCGGGGCCGTTACGCAGCACGAGCCTCGCACCCCCACCACCTCGATCGACGAAGGCGAGGAAGGCCGATGGATCCCACCAACTCGTGGCTGCCGACGACGTGGGAAACGCAGCCAGAAGAAGCCGAAGCCAGGACCCCGAGTCCCCAGACGACCACAGCGCAGAACGGGCCACTTCCAGCTACCCCGGTAAGGGGAATCCCCGAGGTTGGAAGCTCGAGAGCTCAAGACCGGCACCCAGAACGGGAGGGCAGGCAAGCAACGCCACTGCCCGCCTCCCCTGAGAGCCCACCCTAGACAGACTAATCCCGCTCACTCCAGGGAGCAGCATCCCGAGAGTGGAGATGATCAGCTGGCTCGATCCCCACCCGACGGGACCGGAACTGGGTAGAGACGGAGGTGCACGCGACCCCATAGCGAGGCCCGACGACACGGAGGATGCCGACATCATAGACCTGGGTCCCTTCCCGGCCGGACCAGAGGAAGACGCACTCCTGCAGGCGTTACGGGAGCACCCGGGATTATCGTGGAGTACGTGGAAACCCACGACCGCACGAACGTTCGTTTCCTGCGGCACCACCAGGAACACCGATTCCGCGTCACGATCACGGCCCGACGCGGCATCGCCATCTCGCTTCGCCACCCCGACGTAAGGGGGGGGTGTGAGGCACCGTAAAAGCTGCCCCACATCCAGCGGGTAAAAATGTACATATTCACACAAATATTGGTAGATAATAAGATAATAATGATAAGATAATAATTTAAGATGTACATATTGGTAGATAATAAGAAAAACTAGTACTAGGTTAGGATAGGCCACGGAGGCAGGCAAGAAGCCAAAAGAGCCGTTAAGTTCAAAACTTCGGCCGTTAGCCGGTAGTTCAAACAGGCGTTATTTAATGTATTAATTAGCATCTCAGCTGATCAGGCACTCTACTCAGCGAGTTAGGCGATCTACACACGATCGGATTAGGCGACCTACGCACGGTTCCAGTGTTGAGTTCTCGCTTCTCAACCCGGCTGGCTATATAAACCCGGCGGCTGCTAGTCCAGTCTCTTTCATTCGCCACCAGTCAAAGACCAAGCATCGAAGCAGAGAAAACCACGCAAAGGACACGCAGGACACCAAGGACCCGCAGGACATCAAGGATCAGGACGAAGGACCCTAGTGAGTAGAGTGCGAGAGAGATAGGGAGAGACAGGGAAAGAAAATAGTGCGGCTAAAGAAAATATACAGATAGAAAAGAGGAAGAAAAGCCCACAAAGATAACCAAGAAAAAAATAAAACGAAAACAGGACAACAATAAAAACAGCGAACATAACGAGTTGGATTTATTTCTTCTAACAATAAGAACCCTGATCCGGTGTGCTAAAACAGTGGCCTACAAGCGGTTGCGTTTTCGAGAAGATTCCTCTGCGCAACTGGACCTTGGTGGCAGCCATGGTGCACAGACGTGAAGGCGTGCAAATACGGGTTTTCTTTCCGCTTGCATAGCTTTCCGTCGCGATTCCGGTCGACACACCCAAGCCCCCAAGTAACCCAAACCCGACCCGCGTGTGCCAAACTGTGGCCCAAGCCAAGCCGGTTGCGTTTTCGAGAAGATTCCTCTGCGCAACTGGACTTTGGTGGCAACCGCACAGACGTGAAGGCGTACAAGTACGGGTTTTCTTTCCGCTTGCATAGCTTTCCGTCTCGGTTTCGACCGACGCACACCCGTCCCGAACAGTGGGAGCCTGTCCTAGAACTGGGAGCGCTGACTTCTGTCCATGTTTAGAGACGATTCCTCTGCGTGGGCCCCAGGCGGCGGGAGTTGACACAGTGGTACGGGCCAATCCCCCCACTGTGCCTCCTCCGGCACGCACGTGACGGCTTTCACTCGTTCGCGTTCAAGTGTTTTATTCGTTTTTCTTTGTTTTATGGTGGAGTCAACATCGACATCAACAAGTCCTTTACGAAGTTGAACCGTTAAGACGTCCATTTATCTTAAGGGCCACGAGCAGAAGACAGAACAAATAGCTCAAATCAGCTGACCCACGGAAGGACAAGTACAGCGGCCTGAGTCAATCACAAGAAATCATACGCTGGTCGTCAAAAAATAAAAAGGGAACATAGTGCATCGTAGTCGAATTTGCTAACCACTTACAACTCCATAAAAACTCCCATAAGCTTCCTAAAAATATATAATATATATCGCCACAAAAAATCATATTTTAAAAACCAAAAAAGTAAAACAAAGTGCATCAAATAGATCAAATAAAAAAATGTTTAACCTTGCTTGGAAGGACGGATTGGCTTGGACAACAGTGGATCGAATTAAGCAGCCTGTAAAGACCATTTGGCGCAGAGAGTACAAAGTAGGAAAGGGATGGTGCTAAGACGCAGGCGATAGCCAATCTTGCGGGAAGTGTAAGCTGACGACAGACAGACGGTACAGACGGTTTTGCAGTGGCCTTTAAAGGACACACCCCAAATACAGGCCCAACCCCGAAACCACTTGCCTGAGGATACATCTCCCTCGGCCTAAGTCTTAAGCAAACTTAATTTGTTCAACGTGACGGAGGGCTAAACATCATCTAGGGGTTCATGTATGTATTATTTTACCATTACTGTAAATAAGCAAGGCTTTATTAAAAAATATTTGAAATGCCTTTAATTTTTTTGTACATTTTGTTGAATTTGGATCAACTAAAATTTTGACTAAAGACGATTGGTAAATCTCTTAGGAACATTGTAATTTCAATTTTCATGCTTGCCAAATGATTTAGGAAATTAAAAGAGTACGGTGATTCGGGTGTGTTTTTAAGGGTGTTGGAGCTATCGAAAAACGGTTTCATCGGACGTGGGCTACGCTGCAGGACTTGAGTGCATAAAATACCTTGCCCTACGCTAACGCTTAATCTTTTGTAGGGGTCCGTCATTTTTGTTGTCTAGTTTTCACTTAATAAGAGCACCGGCCATAATCCAATACCTAAGCTGAATGGCCTCTGCCACGCCAACACCTAGGACCGACGACGAATTTCATGATGCGAGCCATGGCGCTGATTACGCAGCTGCACACGAAAGCGCCGATTATTGTCCTGACCGCGATCTTCCATTATATGGTTTTGATGGTCGGTGACATCGTGCTGAGGTTGCACAAGTCCTGGTGGAGTATTTGGTCCAGTACCCGGAGTAGCATAGACAGTCGCGCCAGTAGTTACAGCTGGAATGTTCAGCCCTAGGGGGAGTGCTATGTTCTGCTGCTGTTGTGCATGATGCTGCCGCCCCTCAGTCTCTTCATCTTCGTTGGGGCTATCGTAGTCATTAATGGCGCCGTCATTGGTCTCCACTAACAACTGCGACGTGTTGCCGTGTCCGACGTCCTCTCGGGCCATGGCGGTGGCCATGAGACGCTGACGCCGCTCCTCCATTAGTCGGTCACGCTCCTTGTGTATGTAGTCTCGCTTGTTTGGCAGCCCGGCTACGTTATTGGCGGACAGGGCTGAGCGGACAATGTTCATATCAGTAGCCTCCATCCACTCGTCTGTTTCCGCAACGTAACACTCGGTATGCGAGATGGTAGAGACGCCATTAAAGCCGCCGATGGCGAATATCATATCATCAATAATCTCCAGCCCAAAGTTGCTACGTGAGTGATTCATTTCTCGAATGAAGTGCCAGGCCTGGGAGTCCGAATCGAAACGTTCTCCAGTAGATAGGCGGGCCGTACCGTTAAAGCCACCTATGACGTACAGCTGTTTTCTAAAGGCTACGCAGCTAACTCCAGAACGACGATGGTTCATGTTAGCTATTCGCGTCCACGCGTTGGTTAACGGGTCGTAATACTCGGCGCTGTCAAGGCACTCCTGACCGTTGAATCCGCCGGTGGCATAGATACGTCCTTGCAAGGTGCAGGCGCTGGCATCAGAGCGCTGCATGTTCATTGGGGGGATAATTGACCACTGATTGGTTTTTGGGTTATATCGCTCCACGGTGTTCAGCCGGTTGTGACCGTCGTAACCTCCGATCGCATAGATTAAGCCGTTCAACTCCGTCACACTCACGTAGCAGCGGCGACTATGCATTGGCGCGATTTCACTCCATTTCTTCTTTACTGCATCAAATACTCGGCAGGTGTTGAAGTACTCGACGCCATCGTACCCGCCTATCGAAAATATTTTAAAGCCAAGTACTGCGGTTCCGTGATAGGCGCGTGGACCGGCGGGATCCTCTGCGTTTATGTTCACCCAGCGATCGGCACGTGTGTCATATGTCTCGATGCAACCTTTTGAAGTGCCTCCGCTCCAACCACCAATTGCGAAGATTACCTCGTGCGGCAGCCGCGGCATTGCGAGCGGTGGCGTGGTAAGCTTGGGTTTATTTAAGGTTTAATTTAGTACTGTTGGCAGAAGGTGGAAACAATTACAATTACCTCGTCTGCCTGTGGATTCAAAAAGTCCAGGTCATACATGAATTTAAAGGTGTCGATAATTAGGGGCTTGGCGGCTTCACATTGAATGACGTACGGGTGCTCCTTTACTTCTTCCATGAAGCACTGGGTATTGAAGACAATAGTAAATATATGAGAATTAGTACATTACATCACAGAGAAAGAAGAAAGAGTCAACATAAGTAGTGGGTCAAAAACAAAGTTTTCTAAATATAAAATTTAACGGAGAAACGCATTTTACTTTTTTGCCAAATTCAAAGATTTAAATAATTAATTTTATATTATCGCCTATAAAAATTTATGTTGCAGTCATTTTGCAAACTGACACACGTCTGCTATAGATATCAAAATACATGCAATAAACTCAAGAAAAATAATAGCTTATAATAGTTTTTGCCACAATAAAGGCCCACTAATAAAGAGCACCGGGGGTTTCAATGGGTTTTATTTTTGGCCAATCAATCCGACCTACCAAATTTCAGGATCGGTCGACTATATCTTATAGCTGCCATATAACTGAAAGATTAAAAATGTCATAATTTTGGTGTTTTTAAAGTTAGGAAGTTGGGATTTTTTATGATTATTAAGATTGCATCATATAAATAATTTTGGAGAATATAATTTACAGAATATTCTGCAAGGGCATATCAACTTCGGCTCCGCCCAAGGGCATATTTGTAAAAGAGAAAAAAGAATAGTTCAGGGGAAATGAAAAATTCCATTAAAGAACCATCCCCAACGCCCTCCACATCCACTTCTATCCCAAAAAACTAGCCTCCTCTTTTCTTCTTTGCTATCAGAATACAAGTTTTTCCTTCCCACACAATATTACTGTATGTACAGAAACCTAATTAAGGCGGGATATTCTTAGCTCCGAAATTTTCCCGGGTAAGTGCACAATTTACAGGCTGGATCGTCTGTCCAGACGGGGAGGTGGAGTCTTGATTGCTGTCGACTTTTATTATGATTATTAAGATTGCATCATATAAATAATTTTGGAGAATATAATTTACAGAATATTCTGCAAGGGCATATCAACATCGGCTCCGCCCAAGGGCATATTTGTAAAAGAGAAAAAAGAATAGTTCAGGGGAAATGAAAAATTCCATTAAAGAACCATCCCCAACGCCCTCCACATCCTCTTGTATCCCAAAAAACTAGCCTCCTCTTTTCTTCTTTGCTATCAGAATACAAGTTTTTCCTTCCCACACAATATTACTGTATGTACAGAAACCTAATTAAGGCGGGATATTCTTAGCTCCGAAATTTTCCCGGGTAAGTGCACAATTTACAGGCTGGATCGTCTGTCCAGACGGGGAGGTGGAGTCTTGATTGCTGTCGACTTTTATTATGATTATTAAGATTGCATCATATAAATAATTTTGGAGAATATAATTTACAGAATATTCTGCAAGGGCATATCAACTTCGGCTCCGCCCAAGGGCATATTTGTAAAAGAGAAAAAAGAATAGTTCAGGGGAAAGGAAAATTCCATTAAAGAACCATCCCCAACGCCCTCCACATCCTCTTGTATCCCAAAAAACTAGCCTCCTCTTTTCTTCTTTGCTATCAGAATACAAGTTTTTCCTTCCCACACAATATTACTGTATGTACAGAAACCTAATTAAGGCGGGATATTCTTAGCTCCGAAATTTTCACGGGTAAGTACACAATTTACAGGCTGGATCGTCTGTCCAGACGGGGATGTGGAGTCTTGATTGCTGTCGACTCAACCCTTTCGTCTGAATTACTAACTTTTACAGAATTTAATGACATCCAATTCCTAGGTATAAAATTATCGTTTCCAGGTACTTTTATTATTTTATTTTCGCGCGGAGTCCCAGGGCCTTACTTACCCACCCAACTGACCGATGGGCGCAGTCGTGTATCGTACGGCACGATTCGCGAGAATATAAACGCGAGATAAGAAAATATAGGTAAAAGTCCAGGTAAAAAAGTAATAGTAGTCATATCATAATACTCTGAAAGGATCATGCAAGGCATAGTTAGATATACAAGGGTGTGTTAGGCAAGGGAAACAAAGAAACATCAGAAGTTAATTTCCAAGTTTCCAAAGATTAAAATTGAAAATTCGAGACGACAAAACTGAGTCTACAACGGTGAGATCCTCACAACAACGGTCGAGGTTAAATTTAACTTATACATTGCCCCTGATGATTGAGAAGTGGTTGACGAAAACTTCATTCATAAAACTAACAATAATTCCGAGTTTACTCTACGCTAAGCATCATTACTGTAAAGATAAATCGACTGAAGCAACCTTAGTATCCTAAATAAAAAGAGGATTCCACCAAAAAATTTACGTCTACCTAAATATAGAAAGCACCATCAACAACGTCACACATCATCTCCTGCATTAAATTTCAGCAGATGCCTTTCGCGGGGAAAAGCATGTAAAGCCTTCATTATTGGGATCAAATTTAATAGGATATAGTACATTTCATCTCATTTTGGCACAGCTTTCACAGCTACTGCTCAAGTAATGCTATGATTTGTTACAATAGCAGATATAGCATATTTGACTAAGCTCATTCTTTTTGTGTAGGTTAGTTTTAGGGTCTGGTAAGTGTGAGCTTAAGTAATTGTGTAAAATATCTAAAGAATTCTTTGTTTCATTGTTGATTGAGGTTGCATTTTCTGATGACGGTTTAGTGTTAAATTTGGGGTAATGAAAATGTATGTGTAACATGATTTAAATAAATAAGGATCAAAATAGCTTTATTAACTTTAATTCTGAAACATTCAAGCCAAAATTCGCAATTTTCAAAATTAATAATGACTCATTTTAACCAAAAGTTTAAGATTTAAAATTCCAATAAATAAAAGAAACGATGGTATGTAGCTTAACTCATGACTACACTAAAATAGTTAAAAATATATTTTTTTTTTTTTTTTTGTATGGATGCTTTTCTATGTATGGATATTTTTCTTCGTATGGATCTTATTCTACGTATGGATCTTATTCTACGTATTATCTTATTATTATCTTATTATTACGTATGGCCATACTTGAAGTGTTAATAAGAAAAGTATACTGATTGTGAAATAAAAATTTGTAACCTATCTTTATGAACTACTTGTGTCTAATGTTTACTGCTCAAGATTGTTATATTGTCTCTTGTCTTTTTGTCGAAAAAAAGGAAAGTTTGGATTGTTTGTTATTGTTTGTATCTTTTTATTAAATGAATGATTATATGCAAATATATATGCATATGTTTATGCAAAAAATGTTGAAAAAATATTTAATAGTTTTTAAGATGTGGCTGTTTCTCTTAAACGCCTTTTTTTTAAAGAGCCTTGTGGTGATAATTTCCCAGGACGAACGGGTCAACTGATACCAACAAAAAAAATATTTCATTAGTTTAAAGTAGTATGCTGTACTTGAACGAACGTTTTAAACGTTTTTTTTTTGCATACGGGAACGTTTTATGCAAAAAATTACGTTTTTGGACGCTAAAATTCTTACAAAACTATCTATTATCTGCGAAATAAAAATTTTTACATGAAAAAACATTCGTTCAAGTACTAATAAAATTCATTACGAACATTTAAAAACAAAATTTGAAAAATAATCGGTTCATAGTTTTTCGCCAATCCATATCACCGCAAAGTCATTTTTCAAAAAACACCATTTCGAGATATTCGCGTTTAAAGTTTCAAGTTTGGGTTTGGGCGGGGACGAAGCGCGCGGCTAGGAGCGCTGTAACTTTTTTTCTACTGCTCAAATCTCTATAAAAATTTGGGGAAATGTTCTCAAAAAGTTGTTCTTTAAGATAAAGCCAAAAAAAAGTTTTCGTTTTTTTTTTTTTTTTTTAATACTTTATTCTTATTTATTGGATTTTCTTTATTACTTAAGAGACCAACAACAAGTTTTCAAATTTTAATCTATGTTACGTTAATTTATGTTATTGAAGAGCTTAGCCGGTTGAGTTGTCTGGCTAGCAGGTTTGGGTGATTTGATAATCTGGCTTCATATTTAATTTTTCTGGAAACAATTTCTTCTTTTACGGGATTTATATCCAGGTCTCTCTGGATGTTTGCGTTGCGGATGTACCAGGGGGCTCCAGTTATTGTTCGTAGGGTCTTTGATTGTACTCTTTGAATAATTTCTATATTGCTGCGGCTTGCGTTTCCCCAGAGCTCGGAACCGTAGGTCCAGATCGGCTTTAAGCACGAGTTATACAGTAGTACTTTATATATTTGAGTGGATGGGGGGAGCGGTAGTTCATGAGCCAGTGAAGGCTGCTGGCCTTTAGTTTTAAAAGGGTCTTCTTTGCTTCTATATGCTTTCTCCAGGTAAGCCTCCTCTCTAAGTGTATGCCGAGATAGGTGACTTCGTCTGCTTGTGGAACCGGCTTGTTGTTTAGCGCCAGTGGTGGGCATTTCGACAAGTTTGGTGTAAACGTAATGTGCTTACACTTTTGCTCGTTGACTTTGATACGCCAGTCTGCGAGCCATTTTTCTACAGCTACCAGGTGTTCTTTTAAATGGGCTGTAGCTGTTTTTGGGCATTTCGAGCGGCTGACAATAGCAGTGTCGTCAGCAAAGGTTGAGATGGCGGCTTGTTGGAATGTCTGCCGTGTAAAGGATGTACAAGATTGGACCAAGCACACTTCCTTGGGGTACTCCAGCTTCGATGTTACGGATGGTTGGAGTAAAGGTTTTACATCTCACGGTGAAAACTCTGTTTCTGAGGTATGACTCAAGCAACTTGTGAGTGTTTTCCGGTAGGAGGGTTTTGATTTTGAATACCAGACCAGTCGATCCAGACGCGATCAAATGCCTGTGATACGTCCAGAAATAAGGCCCTGCAATATTGCTTGTCTTCGAAAGCCGTGCGAATTTCAGATGTTAAGCGGTTTACCTGTTCGATAGTTCCATGCTTTTCCCTAAATCCGAATTGGTGCAGAGGGATCGTTCTGTTGTTTTGAAGATGTGTTACTAGATGAACAAGAAGCAGTTTTTCAAATAGCTTTGATAGACATGGGAGCAGACTGATGGACCGGTACGAGGAAGGCTGGGATTTGTCTTTTCCTGGCTTCGGGATCATTGTAATGACAGACTTTTTCCATTGGTCAGGAAAGTAGCCCCATTTCAATATT